TAGTCAAACAAATTGCAAATTTTAATTAAAAGAAAGACTGGTCAAGTTGGGTACTTGACTGGGTGTTTGGATGGAATGGCCCTGATGGGAGGAGGCATGGGAAATGCAAGGAGATGTTGCACTGAATTCGTAAAATTTGTTTTCCCCCGCAGAGTTGATCAGCAGGACCTGCCTTCCGAGCTGCCATCTCTAGGAACCAGAGTAAAAGTTGCCCTCGGAGCCCAAGGGAGGAGGTCATAGACAAAGCTACTTTCAGTAAGTTTGCTTGTGTTTGTGGCCTGCCAAGTCATTCCTAGCAGGCAACTTCATTGGTTTTCCTTTTACTGCTACCCTTTTTTTTCCCCTTTATTCTAGACTTTTGCTGGCTGCTTTGTTGAATAATTTTCCTGTCCATATTGCTTTCCCTTACATGGCTGTTCACTTGAGCTGATGCGTCTCGTTGGGTGCAGTACCTTTATTGTCTGTCATCATTTTGGTTATTTTTTGTAATATATCCGTACTCCTTTCTCCAAAGGTTTTGGCCTTTGTATAAGGCTGGTTTAAGTTTTAGCTCTTCAGCATATTGTAACTCAAGTTTATGGTAGGTATCATAACGAGGAAAAAATAACTGTGTTCTTTTGCATGTTACCTCAGTGTTCAATTTGATCTGAGCACATTGAACTTGTGAAGAGTTGTTTCCAGTATATCTAATCTGTATTTACAAGCATACCTTGAGAGATCCAGTTTACATCCCATGTGAGTAGAGGCAGGTCAAAATACCAAAAAATCAAAATATGGAAAGAAGTTAAAAGGAGGGAGGAGAGGGACACTTCATTGTATTACATTCTTGAAGGAAACTGGCTATTTCATGAGAGAAAAGACCTGTTCTGCTTCCTATTTAAAGGTACCTATTGACTCACCTCTGTTTAAAAAAACACCACCACAGAACCCTGAGTTACAGAGCCAACAAGTAATTAGGTTTTTGATAAGTGTGTTGTATTCACAACAAAATATAAAGGCACACTCCTTTTTTTAGAGGGCTCGTACTGGAGATTCTGGTTTACACAACAAAGGGTGTTTTGTTTTCTTGCTCAGAAATGCCCCGGCCAGAACTTACTGTCTATCACTTTTCACAAATGGACGGTTGACGCTGAAGGTTTCTTCACCATCTGTCGCGGGAGAGTTTTCTAGCTATGTTGTGGTGGGTCTGAGCGTAACTCCGGTTCGCAGGATTACATCCGCCAAGGGAGAGTGTCACACGTCTGGAGGTGACACTAGCCAGATTGCCTTGTGTGTTCCTAATAATGGTAACACTAAAGGATTGATCAAGAAGCAATGTTTGGAGTGAAGGAAGATGAACAGCGTGCTGTAATAGATAGTTTAAATATGTTTTAGGAGGGGTGGATGTTTGGAAAAAACAAGTGATAAATATATATGCTACTTTTTATATCTATTGGAACAGCTATGTATGTACTATTTAAGATAAATGATTATGACTGGAGTTGTCTGCTCTCCTTGCCTAAAATTAAATCAACAGTAGGTGTTTTTCCATTTCTTCTCCAGCAAATTCCTTGTACTGAGCTGTCATGGAGGATCCCGTTACAGTTCTTGTTTCTGCCTCTTGTGGCAGACTTTGGGAATGCCTCATATCCTCCCCTTCGTGAAGAAACTCAGGGTGCTAAAAATGTGAGTGTTGTTTAACAAGATTCTACTATTAAAATAGATGTTGAACTGAATTTAATATTGCTTAGTGTTATTTAGAGACTTGCAGGAGAGCATTAGGTTTGCATTTAATTTGAGCAAAAGACAAGAATAGAAGCTGTATAGATTTTTAGGGCTGTTTTAGCAAGTTTAAAAATGTTGTGTATTCTAACAATAAATAAGCCTTTTTAGCCATAATTTGGGGCATCTAAGTAAGGCATGCAGTACGTGTAGTACAGTGTTTAAACAACTGACATGTGAGCAAGCCAAGTTTTTGGCCTTGGCTCTTTTAACAGCCTCTACAGATTGTATGGAATTAAAATGTCACTAAGAGAAGTCAGACTGTATTGCAGGCATCTAGGCAGGTTGAGAAATACCGTCTGGAGAGACTGAAAGGTGTAAAGGTTCACCTGGCTGTAAAATTTAGCTTGCGGCAGCTGGATTTCCCCATCTTTTTCCATCTCTGTAATTCCAGAGTGGTGGGTCATGCCAGCTGATATCCAATGACATGAAAACAGCATTTAAGAATTTACAGTAATACTACATTTTTACATAAAATGTTTTTGCTGTAGAAATTGTTTCTTGAAGTAGGAGAACAATCTTGCAAACAAAACCAGTGTATTGGCAGAGTTAGATTTTTTGTAATGTTTCTTCAGGCTATTAGAACTGTAGGG